TAAAATTAATATTTAAACTTTTATTAAGAATTTTAAAAAACACAGGCAAATTTGCCTGTGTTACAGACGAAGGGATATGATCCAAGCATAATTGCTTTATAAAATTAATGTTTTACATTAATCTTTGGCACTGTAGGTCTCGTATTTCAATATTGCCATTAGTTCATATTGCCTCTGATTATCAAAAATGTTCTATTTCTTATCTTTGGCCTTTATTTACCAATTAGCTCTATAATTTCACTATAATTTTTATCCTCATTGCTTGTACCAACTTCATCACTACATTCAATCTTTTGGGCTAATTTCTCAGCATGCTCGATCTTTTGGATCATCTCTTTATTTAATGCTAGTAAGTTTTCAATCTTTTCCTTATTCATTTCAATTAATTCATTGTCTGATTCAACCACCATTCTTTCTTCCTTCTTTCTTCATCATAGCTGCTTCGAGATTATTTTCTTCTTTTAAATCTCTATTCTCAGAAGAGTTTTGATGATAAACTAAACTAATGCCTTATGTTTATCCTTTTCAATATCTATTTTTATTGACTTTTGACAATCAGTGAAGTCATCATTTTCATCAAACTTGACTTTCATCGTCATCATTCCGAATCCAAGTACTGCAACTTTACAAGACTTTACAGGCATGTTATTCACTTTGTTTTCTCCTTCTAATCTAACTCATCCACTTTCATACTACTAACAATATTCTTTTTATTCCTTCCAATCCTCTTTTATCTAAATCAATCATTATTGCTTTACTATCTGAGCTATTTCCCCTTATATTATTCATATCTGCAACCTTTTGATGATATATGAACATCTTATGTTCATCCTTTTCATTACTCTTTTGTTTATTAATCTTTTCACTTCTTTCACATATATCGCCACTTCCAAGGTTAGTTTCTTTCTTCAAATCATTACTTTCAGTGGATTTTTAATAAGATTCAAATGCCTTATATTTATTTATTTTGGCTCCTATTCCATAATGATAACAATAATCTTTATCATTACTTCTGCCAACTTCATCTATATCTTCAGATTTTTGATAATGAATAATCACTTTATGTTTATCCTTTTCAACATCGACACCATGGGCCTTTATTACGCTAGATTTATCATCATTTTTATTCTGGTAACAACCTCTAACAAAATCTTTACTTTTAATATCCACATACCTAAAGATCCTTACATTTTGGATTTTATCATTTGGCTTTTTTTCCTTTTTGTATTCAATTCTTCTTTGAATATTTCATTAATCCTTTTACCCTTTTCAATTTGACTTTGATTCTCATCATCACCAACTTTGGAACTACTAATTTTTATAAACTGTATATCCATGACTTTCTTTTAATATTCATGTCTCACTTGATCTGGGCAAAAATGGGCCAAATGTCCTTGATGTTGACAAACATAACACAACTGAGATCTGTAGCATTTTCGTCATTTTTTCAAATGCTTCATCACATCAAATACTAACTCAGTCAAACTTTCAACTAACGATAACAAATGATTTTCACTATCTATCCTATTCAATTTCACTACTTTGGTAATGCTCAATTTCAAAATTATTATTATTATTATTTTTTTTTTTTTACTTTATGTTAATAATACCTTTTTTCTTTCATATTGCCTTGATTACAAACAAATGCTAACAGAGACAAATCTCAACAAACATGGCTCTTTGTCCTTTTATATATTACCAATTAAATATATTTTTGCGAGTAGAACCTTCGTCTACCCAGATCCTTTTGTCATGGAGGTTCTCAACACTACTGTGTACTTCTTTGCTTTTACTAATAGTCTTTACTTACTTGGCTAATTTATTTTAAGACCATGTATTATACAGGTTCTTCTATCCTGATGTTCACACAGGTATTGGTATATTCACTACACTAAAAAAACTCAAACTCTGAACTGATTTATTATTATTTATTGTTCGCTTTAAATATTATAAAATTTGATCCAGATATTAATATATCTAGTTACATACATTAGACTATCTACAATTAGACTTTTAATTAAATCCTGCATTATGATCACATATACCATTAACATACCCAATCCTGATCAGATATTAGCACCACAAAATCATAAGATATTAAATTAAACTGTGACATCAGTATTATTTCTAGTTTATAATCATTCTCTAGGTGGCCATTTGGGGATCGAAACTATGTTCAAAAAAATAAGGCAACTCTATTACTAGTCTCAATCATATAAACAGTTATTGGAGTATATGAAGTCTTGTGACCAATGTTAACAATGAGAAAAGCCCCAGTTGACTACTCCCTACACTCTATACAGGTTGTAGCTTCTTTTTATTAAGTTGGTATAGATATTGTAGGACCACTGCCTATTATCTCTAGAACTAGTAGTGGCAACAGATTATATAACCAAATAGTTGGAAGCAAAAGCTATTAGTTTAGCAAATGCTCAAGAAGTGGCCAATTTCCTGTACAATAAAATAATCTGCCATCACAGATGCTCTGAGTTGATCCTGTCAGATCGAGGAACCCATTTCCCAAATAAGCTAGTTCAGAAATTACTGGAAAAGTTCTAAACTAAGCATGTCTTGTCAATGCTATACCACCTCTAGACAAATGGGCTGGTAGAACAGTTTAACTGGACCCTGTGCGAATCTATTACTAAAACCATAGAAAATGTGGTAGATTGGGATCTAATTATCTCATCCATATTGTTTGCTTATCGAACATCAAAGCATTTTACTACAAAGATAACACCATTCTATCTAACATATGGTTGAGATGCAAGATAGCCCATTCAATAAAATGATAGTGTTGGAGAAACTATAACCCAAAGAGTTCAAGGGCTGGTAGATATGTTGCTAGTAATCTGCCAAGCTGCTATTTTTCAAGTACAAAAGGCACAGAATAGGCAAAAGCAGCTTCATAATAGAAAAATTCAGATTATTACTGAATTTGAAATAGGAGAAAAAGTCTTGGTGTACCATGTATTCCAACAATATAATCGTAGCATAAAACTTAAACTGAAATGGTTAGGCCCATACTACATTCATCAAGTTTTTGACTAGAATATATTCAAGTTGCACACATGAAATGTCAAGTCATATCAACCCCAATTAGTACTAGTCTAATTAAAATATATAAAGATTGTCAAAAGGGCACTAAAGCGAGAAAGACATTAAATTAAGATATAAATTGCATAATGGAAAGGAGTAAGGGACAAATAATGTTTTGGTAATAAGGGTGTGAAAAAAAATAAAAAAAAGAGAATGAAAAATATATATATATTAATAATAACACATATATTATAAGTAGCAGATCGAAAAAAATTTTTATATATATAGCAACAATAGAAAGTTCGATCCCTTCATTTTTACCCACTTATAAAAAAAAAAAAAATTGAATATCTACGCAATCATCAGGGATATAACCTTACAGCCTTTAATAAGAACGTTTTAACTTTGTACCGATACCGTATAATTCAGAAATAAGCATTCCCGCATCCTATATATTCACTCGAAATTAAGTACCCACCCCTTTAAATATTTGCTGGGATAAAAAACCGTCAAATGTATATGTATATATTAGAAGTTATGTCATCTATGTATTTGATTATAACCAAAAGTATGGCAAATGTCCTTTTTGTTTGAAATTGACATCCAAATTCACCCTTAACAAGTTTCAAGCGAGACCTGAGGGTTCTGTGTTAATAAAATCGAAAAATAGTTTTGACATTTGCTAGAAAATTTTTGAAAAGGCAAATGCGTAACTGGCAAAAAAAGTGAAACTGATGAAAAGTGGTAAAAAAACTTGATAGATGAAAGCGAGAGGCAGTAATAACTTACAAAAACACCGAAATGAAAATAAATATGAATATTATTTACTAACAAAATTCGATGGCAAACTAGCAGCACTATGAGATTATTCTTTATAGAGTATAAGACTCAATACAATAAATTAGTCAAAGATATTTTATTTAAGTGATTATTCAGGTGATCTCGATAAGTGGGATTAAGGAGATGAGTTTGAAAATTATATAGAGAAAAAAATATCGAGTGACACTATGAATTTTTAAAAATCTTTTTTTATAAACTCACCTGTTTATGATTTTTCCCAGCATCTTCAACAAAAATTTCGGGTACATGATGGTCGAAAAATGCATCAAAGTTTGGTCATTAGGTTAGTATGTTTATTAGGGTTAAATACGGGTAGTTTATATAGTATACTTGCCCAAAAAATACTTTTTTAATGTTCAAACGGTAATTATTTTTATTTTTTATATAATAACTAAACGAAGTTTTTTGTTGGTTAATCCGAGTAGTGTTAATTATTAATTGCCACGACTGATGCTGAAATTTAGGCATATACTTTATTACAGAAAGCTACGTTCAATCCCGTTTTAAGATTAGGGTTAGTTTTAGGGTTGGAAAAAGTTATGATAATTTTGACGAGAAATATTTCTTGTTAGATGTCCAACCTGTTTTATATTCAGGATTTTAAGATATTAAAATATCTATGTATGTACTTAGTGTACAAATAAAAATTCACGATTAATAAATAGTCATTTTATGTTAAAATACCGATAAAATTTTTTTATTTTGTAAATATCTAAGCTAATTATTAGTTATCAGCACTAGTACTTTTTGTATCGTTAATTATTTCGTATAAGGAATCACTTGCCTTGAAATAGATGTCTAATATGATATTTTTTAAATTACTAAATATAATAAATAATTAAACCAATTATTTTATAAGATAAGTTTTAAAATTATTAATTGACAAATCATCAATATTAGCAGACATGTTGCTAAGGGATTATAAAGTTCTCATTGAGTGGAGCTGTTAATTAAATTCATATACTTAATTTTAATTAAATATCAAGCATCATGTTACCCGCAAAACAATATGCATACCTTGACTTTAATGCGTCAACTTCATACTTGATGCCATGCTTTACATGTTCCGAATCATTAATAGAAGAAGAACTATCTGCACGTACTTGTGTCTGTGCAGCTTTAGCAATATATTCCTTTTTTTTTTATTTGTGTTAGTGAATATGGTTAATAAGCATTCGTAAAATTAACCTTATATTTACTATAACATTCTATCAAAATCATCATTGGTGCAGAAGTTCTCTGGAATATTCAAATTAAAGTATTATTTGAAGAGATAGTTTCGGTACCAGACGACGTATTCAAATCCTGAATTATATTACATTAAATTTATCATTATATGTGTCGCGGTGTTTCTTAATGCCCCATGTAGTTGTAGCGGTACCCATGTGATTAATGATCGGGTACGTGATCGAATATTGTGATCGGGGATATGCATGATCCCGATCCAATTAAATGTCTAAAAATAGCTTTGCATGAACAATGTAGTAATTGCATTTACTAATTTTCACCCCCTTTTCTACGATTCCTATTGGCTGCAGGTAGATCTCATCTCCGATTGGGTGAAATCGCGACGTGACCTTCCGCACTCATTTCCGACTTTCATTTCACTTCCGACTTTCATTCTATTGGTTAATCGTAACTTGTACTATAGCATGAAATTTGCCTTTACTTTAAATACAGAAATAGCACGATACTTTCCTTTACTTTAAATAGCACGATAACGTTCACTAATTAAAGATACTTGCCTTTCGTTTTCAACGTTTAGTAAATACTGTATATGTACGTCTATGCCAAGAATAAATTGCAAAGTACTTATCTTCTAAGTTAAATATGTTCGTCTTTTTTTTTATTTTTTTGCACAAAACATTGACGTCTATTTGATGTTAATTTTCGTTTAAAGCTTGATTGAAATAACTACAGAATGCGTGAGTTTGAACTTAGAA